TGCTAGTATTTACACAGAAAATACATTATGAAAGGCGCTGTTGCCATATTTTGGTATTAGTTGATATTAGCAAAGAATATTATTGTTTGGCTTTAGTTAATTAGGGATAGTATGTTTATATATTCTGCATTTTTTTTATTAATATTCTGTTGATACACTGCAATAATACTTGTTATTTTGAATGTAAGAAAATTATTTTTAATGTTTTTTAGCAAAGACTGGTTTAATAAATAATAATAACAGTAATAATTTGTTATACCTATTAACAACAAAATTTAAAATCATTTAATATAAATATTTTCTTTTAAGTAGTAGCAAAATATAAACAACAAATTAGATGTCAAAATTATTTATATTAGATTCTATTTAAAAATAATATAGTCTCTAAATTTTTTGGCAACGGTGGTTTATTAAATAATAATAATTACAGAACTAATTTGTTATATTAACAACAAATTTTAAAATCATGAAATATAAACATTTATTAATTTTCTAAGCATGCAGTGTAATGTAAGGAAAATATAAATAAAAAATTAGAAATCAAAATTATTTATATTAGGTGCTTTATATTACTATTTAAAAATTATATTTACTTTTACTGGCATTTACTTTAAAAAATAAATGAAATATTTTTTCTTCGCAAAAAACTACATGTAAAAGAATTAGCATAAACAAAATATAAACATTGTTAACTTTTTTTTTTAAATTGGCACGTGTAAAACTTTCATTTTAATTTTCTCACCCCATAGTTTGAGTTCGATAACCATTTACTTAAATATGATTATACAACCGCATTACTTAAATATGATTATTAAGTTCAACTAATTCATATTATTAAAACATCTAAAATACAAATATGTATTTTTTAAATTAATTGTAAGTTCATCTCATCTCTCTTAAAAATTGCTACTTTTCAAAATTTCCCATTAAAAAATAGACCATATACCATATAAAATTAAATAATTAAAAGATCGGACTACGGAAAACCACACAAATTTTCGGAAAAATTTTGACCACCACATGCACACAATCGTCAATAAATAAAATTAAAAAATAACTACTATTTTAGTATTTTAACTATTTTAATAAACGCAAAAATAGCACAGTATTTATACGGCGAAGTTATAAAAATTTGGAAGAACTAATAATGCACCGACGCATACAAAAATCAAACGAATACTAAATTTCATTTATCAAAAGCATTCGATAGTCGTGGCTCAACAATAACCATTTGGTCGCACGGCGACTAAATTTTTTTTTTTTTTTTTTTTCGATTCCTTTTCATAAGTTATTCGGGATTTAAATGGAAGTATAGTTTGGATATGGCGTTTGTCGCCTCAACCTGAATATCTGTTATAATTTCTGAATATTTTTTAAAACGTAACTCGCTATGGAAAAAAATATTGTTTTATTAGTGCAGTGCTTTAAGCCCTTATGAGATACAAACCTCGGAATTCATTTACTGTGAACGAATTTTTATAAAACTTTTTGCATTGTATTGATAATAAGATATATTACAAAGTTTACCTATTTAAATTCGTTGCTTTTACTTTAGTATTCAAATAAACACACACATATACAAACGCATACATACAAGATGGCTCCGTTTTCCGGAAAAGCTCTGTATCAGGATTCCTATTTGAGATGTTCACTCCAAACCTTTTGCAAAATATATGTTTAATAGTAGTTGACATTTCAAAAATATTTTTATAGATATACAGGGTGAGTCAAATATATATCATTTTCGAGTTTAGTGAATTTGCTATAAAATTCTGGTTTCAATAATACCTTAATACCATAGAGTACATTAAATGGTCTTTGAATTATGACTACGTCCATGAGTACGTCAATATAGACGTCCAGGAACCTTCGTATGAGAACTTCTAATCGAGACGATCGATTTATTGTAAGTTTATCGCTAAGAAACCGCCCTTTGCCAGCTTTTCAAATTGATAATGAATTGCACTTAAGAACCGTACATATTAACTAACGGACTACAAGAAGAAGATTAAATAAAGCAAATCTTATGTCAAGAAGGCCTGCTTCGGGACCAGAACTTACTAGATGTGTTGACTAGGCCCAAAAGCAAAGGCATGGTCTTAGTGTAAAAATTACGAAAAATGTTAGTGCCTTCTTTAAAACCGAATATTTCCAACAAAAATAAAGCTAGTGAGATGAACCAAAAAACAAATCATCGAGAAAGGATGTATCTAGATGATAAAATAATTTTTAAATTTCTTGCTGTTTTAACATATTTCACAGGGCGTTTCAAACAAAAATATCAACATTTTGTTTTCCGTCATATAATTAACAGGCGGGGAGTTTCATTTTTAATTTAGAAAAAGATACTAAGAAGTCAAATAATTTGGCAACACACTGCTTAAAAAATCATCAAAATCGGCCCATTAAAATAAAATATATTAACCTTTTTATTAACATTTTAGTCATATACTTTTCTAATGAAACAAACCTTTATTTTTTTACTAGAATCCAAAAATCAATTAATATATAGGGTGTTACATTACAAAAAACATAACTTTGATGTGTAACTTTTTTTGGGGACACCCTGTAGAACTCTACATAATTTTAGGAAATACATTAAATTGACTTACATAAACTCAGAAAATTTCATTTCAATACAAACATTTGTTCTCCTTGCAAAAACCGCGTCGTATATGACGCGCCACCCTGTATAATTCGATTTCAATCAAAATTTCAATGATTAGAATATAAGCAGAATAGGTATAGCTTATGTATTAGATTTAATGATTTCAATTAATTTACTTAGAAAAAGAATTAAAAAAATCAAAATATTAAGAAGGAAATAATTAAGAATTTACTAAAATTACTAAAATAAAAAATTAAAAGCAACGAAAAAAAATGGGTTAAAAAAAACATTTTAGTATTTTATCTATAAAACACAATACAGAAGGTTTCAAATTAATACATTCACAGTAATTGAATTCCGAGGTAAAAGTCTCTGGGCACTCTACTATACAGGGTTGTTCACCACATACGACACGGAGTATTGTAGCTAAACGATGAGATTTTTACAAATTGTAAGTTTTGGGTTCGATGAAGGACTATTAGAGGTACAATTTAAAAATAATCTTACAAGATACAGAGTGTCCCAAATAAGTAAAAAATATCAAAGTTGTATTTTTTTAAATGGAACACCCTGTATATTATTACATTTTTAGTTAATGTTACGATTAAATAAAAGGTAAATTTGATTAAGATTTATTATACTTACCGTTTTTGAAATATTTTCAATTTTGTGAAATTGCAGTAAAAATTTTAAGGCTTCATTTCTCCAAGGGTATCAAAATTTTTGATACTAAATATTTACTGAAGTTTATTTAGTGATCAGTTATTGTGTAGTAATAATAAAAATAATACTACCTTATACAGAGTGTCTAAAAATTTATTTTAAATAATTATTAGCTTCAAACGGCAATAACTTGTTTAATTTAAATGGAACACCCTGTATATTTTACTAGAATCAGATGCACAATTTAATTGTCTATCAAATTATATTAAACCATTTTTTACCTATCTCTTTAAGTTTCCGTAGAAAATGCATTTTCTTGTAATTTAGAACTTATTTATCAATATACCCATGGACTATTGACATTTTAGGTCATTTTTAAAGATGTACCAAATTTTTAAAGAGTACAGATACTAATATTGTCGATATAATTCGTTTATTTCATTAAAAAATAAAAAAAAAACTGTTTAAATATTTGTTAAAGAGGACCAATTAATATGATGCCGTATTCAAACTACATTAACTGACTGTTTGCGTTGATTAATAATAATTGCTCCAAATACTAAAAAACTGAATTTTGTATGGGCATTAGATAGTGTGATAAAAAGTAACACCTTAAAAATGATATTTCATTTTTTAATAAATGCTTATTTATAACAACAAAGACTTTAATTTGATAACTTATTATTATATTGATTTCTGACTCAAAAATTCACATTTATTTATAATAATTTATTAGCGAACACAATTAAGTATGTCATTAATTAGTATATGGGCGGAAATAATGGTGTTATATTTAATTAATGGTATACTCTTTTATAAAGATTTAAATAGTTTTCTTTTTGCATACAAATGGGCTAGTAATATTATCGTTTTGCTAAAAACGATAATATTACTAGTCTGTACATTTTGTACATTTGTTGCTTTAAAAACAATCTAAAATGTCAATATTCCATAGATATATTGATAAATGAGGTCTAATTTAGAAGAAAATGCATTTTCTACGAAAACTTGAAGGGATAGGTAAAAAATGGTATAATACAATTTGATAGACAATTTAATTGTGCATCTGATTCTCCTAAAATATATAGGGCATTCCATTTAAATTAAAGAAGTTATTGCCGTTTGAAGCTAATAATTATTTAAAATAAATTTTTAGACACTGTGTATAAGGTACTATTATTTTTATTATTGCAACACAATAACTGATCAATAAATAAACTTCATTAAATATTTAGTATTAAAAACATTGATACCCTTGGAGAAATGAAGCTTTAAAATTTTGACTACAATTTCACAAAATTGAAAATATTTCAAAAACGGTAAGGTTTAAGTATAATAAACCTTAATCAAATTTACCTTTATTTTTATCGTAGAAACTAAAAATGTAATAATATACAGGGTGTTCCATTTAAAAAAATACAACTTTGATATTTTTTATTTATTTGGGACACTCTGTATCTTGTAAAAATATTTTTAAATTGTTGCTCTAATTGTCCTTCAACGAACCCCAAACTTACAATTTGTAAAAATCTCATCGTTTAGCTACAATACTCCGTGTCGTATGTGGTGAACAACCCTGTATACACGACGATAAAATTGCATTATCGTCTCCCGAAATTAATTCACTCGCTCGTGAATTAATTTTTTCGGTCGACGATAACATACCATTTTATCGTCTTATATAAAAAATAACTATAAGATGTGTAAAGGAAAAAATTAAATTTTCACAACAAAATATACACTATTTATTACATTTTATTTACAATTATTACACGTAATAATAATTATTCTAAACAAAACGTATTACATTATTAGTTATAACAAAAAATCTTAACATTGCATTATTTATGTTTAAATTCTTGAGTTATTATTGACACAGTTCAAATATTGAGCTTAGTAATTTGACAAGGTTTTATTTCGTTGTTTCAAAATTCCTAAAAAGGGCTCAATATTTAGAAATTTTGAAATTCACATTTATTTACTAAATAATTAAATAAAAAGGAATTCATTTTCAATGACTGTAAGTATACAGGGTGTTTTTTAATTTAATTTATATCTCTATACAATAGTGCTTCGTTTGTTCGTTATAAGACTGATGCTGTATACATATCTGCAAATATGATGATAATGATGATGAATAATGACTTGGAAGAATATTATAGTATTAAATCACCCTTTCCTTGTTGAATGACCTGGAACAGAAAAAGACAGAAAAACACATTGAATGATTAAGGACTTTACTTTCTTGGACAAAAATAAGGTCACGGAAGTAATAAAAGAATGTTTTTTTTTTATCTAAAAATAGTCTCTTATTATGAGTTATTGCAGAAAAATAGAGCATTTATTTCTAACAGACCTTTTTTTAGATAGCTAAGGGTTAAATTTACCATGATATGAATTTAAAAACAAGTTCAAATTGTGGAGAATAATGTTATACAGGATCGATGATATGTATGGGAACGGTCGATTATTAGGTAAAATATACAAGGTACCGCAAAAAGTTAAATACAAAAATTATAGGGCTTTTAAATGTCTAGTAGCTATTAGCACAGAATATCTAGCTACGCAACAGAAAAATACTCGAAATGAAAGAGCTAAAATTGCACAAATAGAATACTAGATGGCGCGACAATGTCATAATCAGTAATAATCAGAATATAATTAGAAATTTTGAACTTTCGGTTTTGGATCGACGGCTCGTCGACGGCCTTGTAGCTCGGCTAAATATGCACAGTTGCCAGATTCAAAAAGACATGAATTGACATCCCATTCTTTTTATTGTGTATAAAGCAGAATGTGTTTCTTTCTATTCTTCTTTTCTTGTCAGATACACTTATAATTATTCCTTTGGCTATTAAAATAGTTTTAAGTATATTATTACAAAACATATACATTTTTAACATACAGTACCTTATAATGTTAACTAAGAAAATACCTTTAATTACCTTTAAAATTAATAATATACAGGGCGATTGATAGTGATATTTATTAATGCTGGAACGTTAGTAATGAAATAAAAGTTTAATAATAATGGAAATAATTTATTAAAATGCAGTACAAAAATGTTAACTGACTAAAAAATACTATAATAACAAATTTCTTCCGTTTGCCACGTTATTTATATGTATAGACCTAGGTAAATGTTAAAAAGTGACACAGGTACAATTAATAATATATTAGTTCGGCATAAAAGTTGCTGTCACGACATCGAACAATAAATTAAAATTCGTAAAATAAATTAAAATTATTAATTAAACAAATCTTTATAAAGAAACGCAAGTATACCAAATTTGGGCCCAATCAAACTCCAGGAAATGATATCATAATAATGTACTATATTATGGTACCACTTGATATGCTTTAAGGTACCATAATATTGCAATGTCACCGAAGATCCGTAGTATACCAATTTTAAAAACAATCGAACGCCATGAAATGGTATCGTAATATGGTACTATATTACGGTACCACTTTATATACATCATAGTACAATCATATTACAATGTAACCGAAGATACGTAGTATACCAAGTTTGAGCCCAATCGAACGCCAGGAAATGGTATCGTAATATGGTACTATATTAAGGTACCACTTTATGCGTAGCTAGATATTCTGTGCTATTAGTAAATTTAAGTTAACAGGGTCGGTCATAAAGTTGTGGCACATGCAACCCCGTGTATATTATTGCATGTTTCAATTCTTCCTTCAATTTTAAGCAATAATCGTAATACACAAATGTATCTAAATTCAACTATTTCCGAATTATGAAGGCTAAACCATTTTTGATTATGAGATGCTAATCGAAAATTTTGTAATTTCCAGACTTGATATAATCTCATTTTATCCATCTACAGGGTGACCCATCGAAAACGTTCCGCAAGGCATAACGGCCAGGGTAATTTTTTTTTCAGAAAATTCAAAAACACGTCAGTTTTGTTTGTGAGGGGGACAACTTTTGCCCCAAAATGATTGCAAAATCTTCAACCCTCTAAGCGGGGGTGTCATCCCCCAACTTTTTTCAAATGGGAAGGGGGGTCAAGTAGTACCGCAATGAAAAGGGCTTTTTATTTTACCTAATAATCGACCAGTCTTAAAAAGCTATAGACAATGAAAAATATACAAAATGACTCGAAGAATCTAATCAAATTTTTTCAGCGTACCTACTTTTTTAATGGTGGTTCTATTATTTTTTTATAAAATTTTGCGACTAGTTGATTTGGACTATTTTTTTTTCGGAAACAAACAAAAGGTTAAATGGGGTTTAAAAACAAATAATCGGGTCTTTACTTTTATCCAATATCTATTTCATTCTGCGAGAATTTCTAGACATTTCATTGGTTTAAACCGTTCTGTTCTTGCTCTGGAGTAGCAGCAAATTGTCTATCATCCAGGATTAACGATTTCCAGGAAATAAAATAGGTATTTTGTCCTATACCGGGTTGCTTCAATTGGAAAGGATGTCTTTTCAGGAGATTAGGATTTTTTTGTCCTTTTTTAAGTTTTATTCCATTAAAAGAGCGGAGGAAATTCTGAGGCGGTGCCTTGTCTTGCTGGAAAAATATGTTTTCGTTTTCGATTTTTTTCGAATATACAGGGTGTCCCAGAAATAAGTGCAAGTATTTTAAGGTGTGGTAAATCTCGATAAAAAAAATCATATTTTCTCTTTTTCGTTTTTCAAATAAGTCCAAAATAACGGATTTATTTTACTTTGAAAATTTCGAAAAAACATGATTTTTTGCTAAAATTTTGAGAACCGCTGGATCTTTTCTGAATTTTTTTTTCTTGTAAATTTAATCTAATACCTATCTTGCCATGTTATCAAGAAATTATGTTTTTTAATTAAAAACTAAAAAAAATCCAAAAAATTTTTCAAAAAATTTCGAATTTTTAAAAAAAAAATGTTCGCAAAAAAACTCATAGGCGTGTTCCTGGGGTTGAATTATGCTACCAGTTAAAATACTTGCACTTATTTCTGGGACACCCTGTATATACAGGTTTCAAGAAACATGTGCCATCTTTCCTCACATAAAAATAAGATTTATTTTCATATCAACATAGATCCAATTCTGCTTTGTTTCGTAGCTACAGGGTGTTAAAAGTCTTAATAATATTTTTTCGATTTTTGTCAAAAACTCTTTTTGTCAAAAACATGATGGTAAAAACCGCATATCGATATCTCTTACCGTTTCGAAGTTACGGGGTGTTTTTCAAAAATATGCATTTTTAATAAATCGCTGTAACTTTTTTGCTATGGAAAATTTTGTATTTTTATGAAAACATTTCCAAAGCACCTTTTTACGTAGAATTTAATGGTTTAAGTATAATTTTTTTAAAATTAATAATTTAAGAATTATCAACGGAAAATTTGATTTTTTATATGGGACACCCTGTATATTTTTAATTTATTGAAAAGAATTTAAAATTACCTTTTAAAAAATATAACACACTTGATATTTTGCTCGATTCCTCTTCGAGATATAGAGTATATAAAAATTCGCCCGCTTTAAATAAGTAGGCTTTGAACGGAACGGATGTAATGCAAAAAAATTCTAGCTGTGAGCATCAATTAAAACGAAAATAATATTTGCTATGAGAGATGCAGAATTTTATAACAATTTAAAATATATTTAACCAACATCAACACATTTAAACTATATCTAGTAACAATAAAAATAAATAGCAAACAACATGAGATTTTGCTACAGGTGTTCGACATATCAACCGTCTTCTGTTATGGACAGACGGGGCAGTTTTTGAACATTTCTCGCGGAATTCATTAACTCAGTGGGGGTGAAAGATATCCTCTCATAACTGCTAAGTATTTCTAATTCTTGTCTACATTATACGGAAGAATAAGGAACCTTTATTCTTCCGCAAATATATCCATAGGATTAGATCCATGGGCACTAAGTCAGGCGGCCTCGACGGCCAACGGCTGGGATCTTGGTTAGCTATTCAATTATTCTTGAAATTGACTGCAAAAATTTGCTGATAACTTCAGCGTTCAGAGGCGGTGCGTCGTCTTGCTGAAAAAATATGTTAAAAGAGGCGAATTTTTAAAAATTCTGTATTTCGAAGGGGATTATAACAAAATATCAAGTGTGCTATATTTTTGGAAAGGTAATTTTAAATTCTTTTCAATAAATTAAAAATATACAGGGTGTCCCATATAAAAAATCAAATATTCTGTTGATAATTCTTAAATTATTAATTTTAAAAAAATTATACTTAAACCATTAAATTCTACGTAAAAAGGTGCTTTGGAAATGTTTTCATAGAAATACAAAATTTTCCATAGCAAAAAAGTTACAGTGACTTGTTAAAAATGCACATTTTTGAAAAACACCCCGTAACTCCGAAACGGTAACAGATATTGATGTGCGGTTTTCACCATCATGTTTTTGATGAAACTTGAGCTCCAGACACCGATATTAGTTTTCGTCTATCTCCTATAGAAAAGGGTGTTTCCATTTAAAAGCGTCGAATTTGACCCATCCTGTACAGTGATTGATTAAAGATTATAATTATATTTGTTTTGCGAATTACAAAAAAATTCTAAATACAAAAATGTTTTTAAGAGATTAAGATTAAAAGTCATTTTCCGTATAATTTTCATAATTAATATACAAATTCGTAACTCATCGTTCTCCTTGTACTTTTTGAACTTGTTACACCCTGTACATCTCTACAATAGATTCTCAACACAATAGCAGACACTTTATTAAGGTTTCCGTCGCTATCTGTATCGAAAATAAGCACCCTGTCTCGATATCTACTATTCAGAATTATCATCCATTCGAATCACGAATCGGTCTAACGTCGATTCTGAGGCGCTTTGTTTTTGTTATGTTGTCGCTTCACTAGAGGGCGGTGGGTGGTTTGATATCTTACCCCTTTATAGATTTAGGAAATACAGGGTGGCTCATATTATACACGGTCCGGAAATAGTGCGTCGGTCTATCTCTAGCTCCTAGAATCAAAAACTTGGGAATTTTCTATAAGTACAAACTTAAAATGTATTAGGACGTATTTCAGGAAAATAATTCAACCCCTACAGAATGTCTCAAAAAAGTGTGAGTGGATACGGATATTTTTTTTTAATGGAACACCCTTAAAGATATTTTTAGATATGCTTTGACACTTTCAGAGATATTAATAAATAAATAAAAAATATATTTTTTTTCAGTCTCTTTTAAAAAAAATTAACAATACAAGAACTGTCGTGAAATCACAACTATATTAGGCATTTATCTTAGATGGTCTGTACTTACTTTGCTATAAATATCGTAATCTTAGATCATACAGGGTGTTCAAAATCGTACGCCAAGCTTTCTAAAATATAAAATAGTTTTTCTTGTTTTTTTTTATAAATGCAACAACTTGTATATTCTTTTTTTAATAGATGGAGAATTGAAAAATGAACATTTTTTGTATTTAGAGTATTTCAAAATTTTTAACGGCTTTGCAGATAGTTGCTGTATTATTTTATATGGGTCTTTCAATGGTAAAATATGAGAGAAAAATTGTTGCAGATCCTGCAGTTGAACATTGTTCTTTTTAGAACCTCTTTTAGTGCGAAGTGATAGAAGATAGCTTAATAGCCGTAAAAACTCATTGCAAATTTATTAGAATATTTTGAACGGGAAAGCGGTAGTAATGGCCCTTTATGTCCCTGTGCTGTTAAGGATTTAGTTGATGTAAATAATAACTGTTTATATATTTATAATTAATTTATTGTTGTGTCCTAAAATATTTTGATTAAACGAAAATATGTAAAAGCTGGCAACGCTGTGCCGGTCAAGTTTAATCACTTGACTAAAAGTTTAATTGGTATGAACAGTATGAACTATATATAACTTTATTCTGTGATATTCTGAGTTGCAAATAATTTTCAATATGTAGTAGGTGCCACCCTGTAGGAGGGGTTGTTATAGGGAAACGTACGATTCGCTCCTGTCGTGAGGGTTATATCGCAAAAAGCGGATATTTCAGATGTTGAGGAAATTTAGTTCGTTTTTTATGTCTACCACCCTCTGTATCCTATTTTCCATCGATTTCAATTTTCCGATATTTTGGGCAGGTTGGTTTTTTTATTAAATTCCGATATTCGTAATACACTGTTTGTATATACAGTATGTTCCTGTATTGAAAGGAAATTATATTACCATAGAAAACGAGATTTGATTTTTAGGACCTATTTTCATGTTTTTCTTTAATTTTTCTCTAAAACGGTATGGAAATTTGGAAAAGTATAAACAGAATTAACCATTTTAGAACAAGCAAAAATTTTAATGAAGAATGAATGATCTTCCTCAAAATGGCAACAATAAGAAGGTTTTTCCTCTTGTCAAGACAATCTGGGGAAATACTGTACAGGGTGGGTCAAATTCGACGCTTTTAAATGGAAACACCCTTTCCTATAGGAGATAGACGAAAACTAATATCGGTATCTGGAGCTCATTTTTCATCAAAAACATGATGGTGAAAACCGCACATCAATATCTGTTACCGTTTCGGAGTTACGGGGTGTTATTCAAAATGTGCATTTTTAACAAATCGCTGTAACTTTTTTGCTATGGAAAATTTTGTATTTCTATGAAAACATTTCCAAAGCACCTTTTTACGTAGACTTATATTCTACGTAAAAATTTGCGATGTTCGCCATTTTAAACTAGTAGGCTTTGGACCCCTTATTGATGATATGCCCTTAATGGAACTCGAAAACATATTTTTCCAGCAAGACGACGCACCGCCTCTGAACGCTGAAGTTATCAACAAAATTTTGCAGCCAATTTCAAGAATAATTGAATAGCTAACCAAGATCCCAGCCGTTGGCCGTCGAGGCCGCCTGACTTAGTGCCCATGGATCTAATCCTATGGATATATTTGCGGAAGAATAAAGGTTCCTTATTCTTCCGTATAATCTAGACAAGAATTAGAAATACTTAGCAGTTATGAGACGGTATCTTTCACCCCCACTGAGTTAATGCATTCCGCGAGAAATGTTCAAAAACTGCCCCGTCTGTCCATAACAGAAGACGGTCGATATGTCGAACACCTGTAGCAAAATCTCATGTCTTGGTTTGCTATTTATTTTTATTGTTATTAGATATAGTTTAAATGTGTTGATGTTGGTTAAATATATTTTAAATGGTTATAGATATAGTGCATCTGTGTTGAAATATTATTAAATATATTTTAATTGATGCTCACAGCTAGAATCTCTCATAGCATTACAGCCGGTGCCGTTCAAAGTTCAAAGCCTACTTATTTAAAGCGGGCGAATTTTATATACTCTATATCTCGAAGAGGAATCGAGCAAAATATCAAGTGTGTTATATTTTTGGAAAAGTAATTTTAAATTCTTTTCAATAAATAAAAATATACAGGGTGTCCCATATAAAAAATCAAATTTTCTGTTGATAATTCTTAAATTATTAATTTTAAAAAGATTATACTTAAACAATTAAATTTTACGTAAAAAGGTGCTTTGGAAATGTTTTATTAAAAATACAAAATTTTCCATAGCAAAAAGTTACAGCGATTTGTTAAAAATGCATATTTTTGAAAAACACCCCGTAACTCCGAAACGGTAACAGATATCGATATGCGGTTTTCACCATCATGTTTTTGACAAAAATTGAGCTCCAGACACCGATATTAGTTTTTGTCTATCTCCTATAGAAAAGGGTGTTTCCATTTAAAAGCGTCGAATTTGACCCACCCTGTACAGTGTAATTCACAAAAATCACGATTTTAATTCCGAAAATATTAATTAACACAAGATATACAGAATGAATTTTAAATAAGTGCAAATATTTTCATAGATCCCGATAAAAGACACATATTTTCTCTTTACCGTCTTTCAAATATGTTCAAAATAACCGAGTTATCCAAGTTTAAAAAAATAAAAAAATACTTATTTAAAAAAAAATTGAAAGCCACTAGATTTTTTTTTTGTATTTGTTTCGCTTTTAGTGCCGTAAGCACATTGGCGTAACTACAGGTACTACAGGTACTGCTGGGCACCCCCCAGAAAAATCCTGAATTATGACTCTTGACTACGTATTAATTTTTATTTGTTTGTGATGCAGTAAAAATTACGTTTTATAGTTTTGTTTAGTTAATATTATTTTGTTGTGTTCAAAAAATGTGTTAATTTTTATTTTTTTAGAAAATTTGTAGGTATTTAAGTAATCTACGGGAACACGGTTTGATAACCAAGTCTATGAAATTTATTGATTCATGTAAATGTTTTATTCAAAAAATGTGTTTTTTAAAATTATTTTTCATTTTCAAAAAAACAAAAGCCATAGGCCCCCCTGGGCTCAACCCCAGGCACCCCCCCCCCAGGCCCACCCCAGGATAAATTGCTAGTGAAGCTAATGCGTAAGCATGGTAATGTCAGAGATAAAGAAATTATACGCTGGAAAAATATACGGTCTAAAAAGTTTTCTAAAAAAAAGAAGAAATTTTAAAAGAAAATGTACAATTTTCAACGTCCTCTCTTTGCGAAAAGAATGTCATAGACGTGTTCCTGTGGCCGAAATATATCACCTCTTTGTAATTATTTAACACTCACCCTGTATAAAAAAAAATAATACTACACGATCGAAAAAAAAACGCCGTTGAAGATGCCGGGAAATGGCCTTCAATGATAATTTTGGCAAGGTCAAGCCCTAGATGTCATTTAAGAAGATTGTAATTTATTCTTCACTGAGTAAAAATGAATTTTAATTGGTGTTCATTCAAAACATTTTTTTTGAACTATAGATTTGTATGTTTGGAAACATTCTATCCTTTTTTAATCTTTCTATAATTAGTACTAATTTTTAGATATTGACCTCGCCAAAATGATCATTCCTCAGCCGTCCTTGACGCCGTTTTTTTTTCGATCATATGGTATAATATTACACACCTAGTAGAAAAGTGTTTTTTAATGAGACATAAAACATTTGCATTATTTTTTATTTTATTTGATCTGTGGCCTATACTATCCCTATGCTTCTTACTTTCTTATCTCCTAAACTGCCGAAATCAGTGTTTTTTCTCCACTTTTGTCCATATTGGAATATCGCGATCCAGGACGCAGTCTATGCAATAAGGGCCTTAAAAACACTTCTTTAAACGTCACTCTGAACTGCCTGGACATCGTACAGTATAGTATAAAGTTGATTCCAGAATTGGTCAGTGCCAATATGTCCATAATGTCACCTGAAATATAATTAAAAATATTATCAAAAACAATGTAATAGATATTTATTTTTATAAGTCCTCTTGCTAAACTTTCTTTATACCTACTGAAAATTGTTTTGGGTATGTTTTAAATCTTAGTAAACGTTACAGTTATAATGAGTCAAACATCTCTAATAAGCTCATTAAATTAATTATATTAATTTTAAGCTGCATGTACTGGCTATATTCAGCGAAATGCAGCATATACAGGTAGTTAGTTTTCTTTGAGTAGACGCAAAACATTAATTAGTAGAACTCTACGAATTCTACAATACATCGTTTGAAGTAAGCTTAATTTAAAGTTAAGAACTATGTTACCAGATTTAAGATGTATACAGTGGTTTATGGTTGTACCAGTTGGGGGTAGCACTATTAGTCCCAAACAAATAATATACAGCGTTATTCACCTTATTCGAGAGGGAGTATTTTAGCCAAAATTGGATTGGATTTTCAGAATGAGTCTCCCAAATAAAGAAAAAATATTAAAATTGTTTTTTTTTAAATGAAACACAATGTTATCACATTTTAGTTTTTACGATTAAAATAAAGATAAATTTGATTAAATTTATCTGTATATTTTACGTGAACACCCTGTACATTTTACGTGAATCAGATGCAAAATGTAATTGTCTATGAATTTGTATTATACTATCTTCTATCTATCTCTTCAAGTTTTTGTAGAAAATGTATTTTCTTATCATTTAGACCTCATTAATCAATATACCCGTGGAATATTGACATTTTAGTTTATTTTTAAAGATGTAACAAGTTTTCAAAGAGAACAGATACTAATATTGTCGATATAGTTAACTAATTTTGAGGTTCTGAGTGAAGTTTTTAAAAGAAAAAAAGTTATTAAAAAAATAAAAGTTTCATTGTTAGTGGTAATAGTATTCTGTGAATTATTGTAAAAACTTTTCAATAAACATTTAATTAAGAATTTTTTATATGATAATATATTAAATATAATATTAACTAACTGTACAAATTTATTTTTGACATTTATACATATATTTCTTATGCAAAATATTGTGCACATTTAAATATGATAGCTTTAACAACAAAAGCAAAATTTATTTAAAATCCTGTATTATTATTCTGGCAACGTTCAATGTTTTTTTTTCCTAAATATCCTGTTCAAAATGATTAATAAATAAAATTAATTAAAACGACATAGCTTTGAAGTGTTGGAAAGTAAAATAACCAGATATCCCTGTTTAAAATCATTCAAATAGGTATTGTGTTTGCATTTGTTTTTATAATTAATTAATTTAAAATGTATCGAACAGGTTTTTTTTGCTTGGTAATTTCAACAAAAATTAAGCTTTTGGAAATTGGGCTCCGTGTGGATAATTTAAAGTCTTTTGTCTTTAACAAAGTTTATTTGCACTAAAGAAGGCAACAAGAAACTAAACTAATCAAAAAAAGTTAAGGATATTGTGTTTTCGCTAGGAAGAAAATTTTTAAAAGTGTAATTTCTAGACTCACAAACCGATTTAATGAGACTGGATCTGTCATGGAGAGGCATAGGGAGGTTGACAAAAGCTAGGGACGACCGAAGCTTACTGAGAGAAGCTAGGATGGATCCTGCAAGAAACTACACGTTGCTCAGCCAGGACCTTTTGGCTGCCAGCAGAGTACGTATTACCCCTCGGACGGTCTTAAATCGATTAAAAAAGCAGGTTTACATTGCTGTAGGCCTATAAGCCGCCCTCCGTGATCCTCCAATGATGTCGTCAGCATAAATTTCACCTGTCATTGTACCTTCTCAGACATACAATTCCGTTCGGCCTCCGTAGAAAATTCCATCCCAGACCATTACATCTCTAACTCCAAAGGGATGCCCTTCTTGAACATATCGGTCGTTAAGTCTTGTATTTCTTAGTGTCCATACACGAACTGTACGTCTGTCAGTACGAAGACAAAAGCGGCTTTTATCGCTGAACATCGCAGTATGCCACTCATCATTTCAGTTAGCTCTTTCATTACACCAGAGCAAACGTTGAGCTTTATGACCTCAACCTGACTCTCGCGGTCAACGGAGGGTGTCTTATAGGCCTATATTAATGTAAACCTGCTTTTTTTAATCGATTTAAGACCGTCCGAGGGGTAATACGTACTCTGCTAGCAGCCAAAAGGGTCTGGCTGAGCAACGTGTAGTTCCTTGCAGGATCCATCCCTAGCATTTGTCGACCTTGGTCGACCCTCCCTATGCCTCTCCATGACACATCCAGTCTCATTAAATCGGTTTTTAAGACTAGAAATTACACTTTAGGTGACTTTAAATCGACCAGCCACATCGATCTGTCGCGCACCGCCAAGAACCAACCCAATGGCTTGATTTGCTTCCTCTATTGTTAAATGACGTTTGTTCATATTATCGATGACGGAAAAGCCGTGCCTTCGGCCTTGGCCTTGGGTCCGGACCTTTAACCCAAAATACCATAGGTTTGCGTGAAAGGCAAAGTCCGCGAATATATTTCCGCTATGGTAATTTGGGTGAAAGCCCCGGTCTCAAGAGCAAGTCCAAAGGCTGGGCGTTTCCGTGTATGGGCAGCTATTAATGTTTTAAACTCAGTGCCTTTCGATGGAGTTAAGGTTTCAACAATTACAGCAGCATCCTTACTTCCACTAGCCCTAAAGCTCATAGTACTTGCAAAACCCAATTCTTCTTTTGAACGCTCTTCAATTAACCCTTTAACGAGTCATCTTTGTTTTGTTTTTATATATTTTATACTATCCAATTGAAATGAAACTTTTGGGCATTCACCTGGTAAGCTTGAACTTCCTGTGACTGTGACTACCTGTGTTGGTAACTATTGGTAACTCAAAAGATCTACATCATTCAATATATCGATATTTTTGAAAAAAAGTGAAAATTTGATATCTGCAGAACAAAGGCACGAAGGACTTTAACAAATAATATACGTACAGTAGAAAAGTACATACCTTTGGCAATCTTCAACATAATTTGGCTTTGGAATAAAATGTATAAGCACTTGTAAATATTTTGTTTTCGTATGATCTCTGCCTTGCTGAGCAGAAAACGACCAAATTTGGTTGATAAAAATGTATCGAAATACAAAGAATATTCATGCATTTTTATATCAATTGGAATGTCTACTATTTATTCTTATCAGTACACATTTTTTGGCTTATTTCTAACCAAACGGTTTTGTCCCGCTAAATTTATCTTCCACCGCACTGTGCGCTCGTCCGTCAAACACAAAAATAACTGTCACTGTCTAAGATCTTTAGCGCCAACTTCAACTCCTGTCAAAATAGCGTGAACAATCCTGTATATTTTTATAATTTTCTCTACTTCAGTCTCATTATTTTCTATAACAAATTACACGACATAATCAATAAATGTATAATGAATTAGTTGCTCAAATTAAACATAATGTAATTAACGTTCTAGGTAATATTTTATTAGATAAAAGTCAAGAGCCAGACAATCTCCTGAAAATATCTGGGAAACTCGAGTTTTCCCTCATAGGAAAATGAAATTTTAGGGAACTTTTCATCCATGTCCCGTTTTCCGTCTCCGTTTGAGAAACTTGACATGGCTGCCGCCTCTTCACGATGGATTTGTCTTACATGACGTCGCACAAAATATTATTAAAATTTAACTCGAGATAAGCACACAGCGGAATACCAAAAGAGCGAAATGATTTTATTAAAGGCTTGGTTTTGAAGGAAAATTTAAATCTTGACATATTAATACTGTGGGAAAACTTTATTTTCATTCAAAAATTTAGTTCCATTTAATTTCTGATGATATATTATTTTCAATTTTTTAGGTGTCATCAAAAGGTTAATAATAAAAAAAATTCTCTTGTATAAAGATAATCCGAGGATACCTATACTGTAGAAAGCGTGGTTAGGTGTAGACACAAACGGTACATCGTGAGACAGGAAATTGTAGAGACAAACAAGCCATATAACATAGGATACAACATTTTAATGAACAGTGCTTTCCATAAAATCAATAAAATGAAAAATATACGATATAATATATATGTACTGATTTCTTTCGAAAATCGACAACTATGAAACTATGAACTCTTCCCGGACACAAACGGTACATTGTGAAACAGGAAATTGTAGAGAAAAACAATCCCTATAACATAGGATACAACATTTTAATGAACAGTGTTTTCCATAAAATCAATAAAATGAAAAATATACGAAGATTTCTTTCGAAAATCGACAATTATGAAACTATGAACCCTTCCCGGATACAAACGGTACATTGTGAAACAGGAAATTGTAGAGAGAAACAAGAGAAAAACAAGCCCTATAACATAGGATACAACATTTTAATGAACAAGGCTTTCCATAAAATGAATAACATGAAAAATATACGAAATAATATACATGTACTGATTTCTTTCGAAAATCGACAATTATGAAACTATGAACCCTTCCCGGACACAAACGGTACATTGTGAAACAGGAAATTGTAGAGAGAAGCAAGCCCTATAATATAGGATACAACATTTTAATGAACAGTGCTTTCCATAAAATCAATAAAATGAAAAATATACGAAATAATATACATGTACTGACTTCTTTCGAAAATCGACAACTTTGAAACTATGAACCCTTCCCGGACACAAACGGTACATTGTGAAATAGGAAATTGTAGAGAGAAACAAGCCCTATAACATACGATACAACATTTTAATGAACAGTGCTTTCCATAAAATCAATAAAATGAAAAATATACGAAATAATATACATGTACTGATTTCTTTCTAAAATCGACAACTATGAAACTATGATCCTTTCCCCGACACAAAGGGTATATTGTGAGACAGGAAATTGTAGAGAGAAACAAGCTCTATAACATGGGATACAACATTTTAATGAACAGTGTTTTCCATAAAATCAATAAAATGAAAAATATACGAAATAATATACATGTACTGATTTCTTTCTAAAATCGACAACTATGAAACTATGATCCTTTCCCC